GGAACCATTTTGTCACTTCTGGTTCCGCCTCCCCGCGGTGGGGCGTAGCGGTAGGAAAGGCCAGCCGAAGGAGAGAGTGATCTGACCATGACAGGGGCTCAACGACCATTTCCCCTAAACCATGATCACTCAGCCACTGGCCGGAGGCAAAAAGTATAGGTCAGGGGTAGGCAACCTTGGCTCTTTTATGACTCGTGGACTTCAACTCCCAGAATTCCTGAGCCAGCCATGCTGCAGCTGCCAAAAAAGCCAACACAGTGCTAAGCTGTATTAACAGAGGGATAGAATCAAGATCATGTGAAGTATCAATACCACTTTACAATGCCTTGGTAAGGCCACACTTGGAATACTGCATTCAGTTTTGGTTACTACAATGTAAAAAAAGGTGTTAAGACTCTAGAAAGAGTACAGAGAAGAGCAACAAAGATGATTAGGGGACTGGAGGCTAAAACATAAGGAACGGTTGCTGGAATTGGGTATGTCTAGTCTAATGAAGAGAAGGACGAGGGGGGACATGATAGCAGTGTTCCAATATCTCAGGGGCTGCCACAAAGAAGAGGGAATCAAGCTATTTTCCAAGGCGCCTGAAGGCAGGCCAAGAAGCAACGGATGGAAACTAACCAAAAAGAGAAGCAACCTAGAACTAAGGAGAATTTTCCTGACAGAACAATTAATCAGTGGAATAACCTGCCTCCCCAAATTGTGAATGCTCCAACACTGGAAGTTTTTAAGAAGAGACTGGACAGCCATTTGTCTGAAATGGTATACGGTTTCCTGCCTGAGCAGGGGGTTGGACTAGATGATCTCTAAGGTCCCTTTCAACATTATTTATTATTATTATTATCATAATTATCATTATCATCATTATTATTAAATTATTAATTATTATCCCACACATCTTGAAGTTGACCTGCTTTAGAAATAGTGGCCTAAATGACATGTTCCAATTCTATGACAGCAAACCTGTTTATAACATTTGCATTATTAGTTTGGAAAGTTGTATTTTTAATAGGAACAACATTTACGATCTTGATGTTACATTCTTTAAATTTTGTGGGACAAGACTGTGTGTGAAATACAACAAAAATCTATTCCAGTGGGTAGCCGTTGCCGAATTACAGCACTAAAATTGCCATTTGCTCCCAAGATTCGCATATGCAATTCTTACTTCCAATCTCCTTGGAGAAAAAAAAAAATGCAACTACAACTTCCTCAGGTGCTTTTTAATAGACTACTACTGTATCTGCCTCGTTGTAGAAAAAGCCTTGTCTCGATCGCAGCGCATGCGTGCTGGCTCTACCCGAAGGCAAGGTGCATCGACGTAGAGAAGTCCCACCCACCGCCGGTAGAGCGTCCAAGACCCAGCCCGAGGCTCCTCTCTTTCTAGTGATGGAAGCGCTCCGGGCTGCGGGACGAGCGGTGCTCCGGAGTCCCAGCCTCGCCCGCCACCGCTTGGGCGTTGCCCGCCTCCGTCGCCACAGACAAGGTTAGTCCGAGAAAGCGCCTTACTGGGCGTTGCAGGTGTAGCGCCGTGGTTGCTAGGAGACAGGAGGACGCGCAACGAAGCTTACTCCTCCTTTCCCCACGGCCGCTCTTCCTTGGTTCCCTACTCGGGGACTCTTAGCCGCGCGCTTGTAGAGCCTGCCCCGGCGACGCGAATGTCCATGGGATTGGAAGGGCGGGGAACATTGCTAGGACCTCGAGGGACGGAGCGGGAGGGGGGAGTGCTGCTTTTTCTGGAGCGCGAAATTAATTAGTGGCGCTCCATCCTCCCCAGCTGAGCTGCAGCCCCAAGGGAAGGAGATTGTAGGGAGGAGATGTTTGTCTGAAATGATATAGGTTCTCCTGCTTGAGCAGGGGGCTGGACTAGAAGACCTCCAAGGTCCCTTCCAGAATCCTATCCTATCCTATCCTATCCTATCCTATCCTATCCTATCCTATCCTATCCTATCCTATCCTATCCTATCCCTGTCCCTGTCCCTGTCCCTATCCCTATCCCTATCCCTATTTACTGACGGTAGGTCCCCTTGGGCCACCTGAATGGAAGAACCAAGGCAGACTCCTCCCCAACACAGTGGGGCTAACACTGTGCTGGGGATTCAAATCCTACTCAATATCTGGTTCCCTGGGCTGGATAGCTGCTTGTGGGTTACCCAGTGTTGCACAAGGTTTGTACAACATCCTCAGTCAGGTTAGTGAAGGACTTAACTGATGCACAGTTTGGTTAGCTTTGATTTCGGATCTCTTCCCCTCTTTATTTACAATAACTTTCATTTTTAAAGAAAACAGTTTGGTACCAATATAACGTACTTTATTATCTTGTCATGTTTGTGATTCTAAAATCCAAAAGGCACTAATATTTGTTGCTAGTTAAACTAAACAGTGGAATAAATGGCATCCTTCAAAATTTCATCAGGGCTGACTTTGGTGCCTATCTTGCACCAAGGAAAAGATTTTTAGAGTTGAACCAAGCTCAGTGGAGTGACAGATGAGGGAAATAGGAGCAAAGGCAGGAAGATTTTTTAGATGCTTTCCACTTTTTAAAACTGATGATAGGTCTTCCATCTGTGGATGGTAGTTATACTTGATTAATCTTCTTCATCTGCTCTATATCCTCATAGTGAGAGGGACAGTAGACAATGGCATGCAAGTAGTGGAAACATAGAAACACAGCCCCTAAAATGCTTTTGATTTGGTCCAGCTATTAATTATTTCCAATCAGAGATGTTCACAAGGTGGATATGTACAGATGTCAAAAGCAGCATGTGTTGATGTGCTGTGAGTTTGATTCATTTTGTCTGTGCATAATGATGGAAGCTAGACTTTGCAATTTGAGATTACTTTTGTTATTTTGAGGGTAATGGTGGTTCTGTAGCCTTCAATTCCAACTTGACGTAATTTGTGGAAGAAATATGTAATTGTTTTTCTGTTTACAGCCCTACCTACATATGAGGAAGATTGAAGGGCCCAAAAGTTTGCAAAACCCCAAAAGTCTCTAGAGAAAGCCTCTGTATTTTATATGTAGAGTCGTGATAAAACACCTGCTGCTTCTGAGAGATTGACATAGCATTCCTCTACTACAGGGGTCTTCAAATTTGGCCCTTTTATGACTTGTGGACTTCAACTCCCAGAATTCCTCAGCCAGGCACGCTGACTGAGGAATTCTGGGAGTTGAAGTCCACAAGTCATAAAAGGGCCAAGTTTGAAGAACCCTGTTCTACTAAATTATTTTTGCCTTGCTTTGCAGAACTCCCAGAATCCTGGGCTGACATGCGTGAACCCCTCTTGGAGGGCATGAGTTTTTCCCTGAAGTACCTAGGCATGACATTGGTGGAGAAACCCAAAGGGGAGGATATGGCAGCAGGTGCCATCCATCGAATCATTGCCATGGTAAAAGATGTGTTTCTTTCCTTACTGTGGTGTTCTTGTAATACAGGCTGGCAGAATTACAAAGACTTTGATGTCTCAGGACTTCATAAACAAGCATTGCTCAGAGGTGGGATGATTAAAGCTTGACTCTTCAAACTGTGGAGGAGAAAATGGGTGGCAGTTCCCATTCTTTTTATCAGCTTTGTAGATTGCTGTTTTGATTTTTTAAATTCTTTATAAGTTTAGAGGTAAAATATTAGCTATTTTAGTTAAATAGATCAGTATTCACATATAGTGTATGAATAGAATTTGAAGGGTAGCGGTGAATACAGGAAGCCCTCGACTGACGACCATAATTTAATTTATTCTTGTTTTAATGCAGATATATTTCTGTCTGTAAGCTGCCCAGAGTTACCTTATGGTAAGATGGGCAGCCAATACATTTTATAAATAAATAAATAAATAAATAAATAAATAAATAAATAAATAAATAAATAAATAAATAAATAAATAAATACAAACAAACAAACAAACAAACAAACAAACAAATAATTGAGCCTGTAATTAAGTTGTAGTAATGATAAAGTTGGTCAATGCATGATTGTGGCCAATTTTATGTTTTTTGTGGTAGTTAAGTGAATGTGGTGGTTGTAAAGTGAACAAAATAGTCATTAAGTGAACTCATTGCTCACTATGGAGCACTTTCTGTTGGAAACATAAATTGTGGTCATGTAGCCGCAGAATGCAGCAAATGACCATTAATACAGGCTGTTTGCTGAACACCCAAAATGTGGTCATGTGACTGTGGTAGTGGACATCGGAATTTCGAATCTGGATCATAAGTCCTTTTTTTTTGGAGTCCATTGTAACTTCAAATGCTCGCTAAGGATCAGCTGTAAGTCAAAGACTACCTGTAAATGTAATCCAAATCTGGACATGGGCTTTGTGGATGCATTACTTCGTAACAGTTTGCTGGATTTGAATACTGGATTTGATCCAAAAGAGACAGATTTACATTCACCTCCACAATTGTTTCTTGATCCACTTCTTCTTATCCTCAGGCTCGGGTGGGGCCTAAAAAGTTCCAGAAGATGATTCTGACTGTGTCACCCAGGGGCCTCTCTCTGCAAGATGCTGAGACCAAGGAAACAATTGAAACCATCTCCATTTACAGGTATGGGTTCATGCAAGAAAACTAAATTCTTGGTAGAACACTACCGATAAACAGATAGATGACTAAATGGCTCATTTGTTCTAATTGTTCCTGTATGATATATCAAGAAGCATCAATGACTAATGGCTAATGTGCATGCAGAGGCTACACGAATCTCTATATGTGCATGGCATGTTGTACAGTATAAACAACTAAATTGGGGCTAATTTGGAACCTCTCCTGAGCCTGCCCAGAAGCATATCCTTTCCATTTAAAAAATGCATTTCTATGCAGAGGAGCCTTTGGACTTACCACCTTTCTTATTGCTAATTTAGGAAATATGCTTTTCATACCTGCATACTCGGAAATTCTTTCCCTCTCCATTTTTTCATGGGCTTTCTGCATTTCAACTTCTGTTGCTCATTTCTGCTAGGAATCCTTTGCTGTTGCAAGAAGTGACCTACTTTTTTTTTATGCTGAGGGCTGTATTTGATGTTGAAATGGTATAATAGGAGATGCGCTGTGAGAAGTGGGTCAAGCCAGGGCTGAAAAACAGGCAAGACTCTATCAAAAGATTTTTTTTTTAATCTAAGGAGCCCTCTTCTATGGCATTAACCTCTACCACAACTAAACATAACAGGTTCACAGTGTTACTATTTAAAAGTATTTTCTAAAAAAAGTCACAAATACCTCCTCCAAATGTTTGCTCCCAAGACCTCAGTAGCAATTCAAAAAAGTTCTTGCAACGAACCATTGGGCCTCATGTCGGCTGTGGAAACTTACTTTTACTCTTGCCTAACTGGCAAATTATCCCTACCCCAACAATTCATGTGGTTCTTTCGTCCTATTCTGATTGTGTCTTCATTACCAAATATGTCTTATTCTGAGCCCTTTCCTGATTTTGGCGTTGACTGCCTCTACCCTTTGTGCAGGCTGATAAGAAACAAGCCCAGCCTTTTTTTTTTTTTTTTGCAGGATTTCCTATTGTACCACAGACAAGCTGCAGAACAAAGTCTTTGCCTATGTGGCCCAGAACCCTCAAAGCGGTGCACTTGAATGCCATGCTTTTCTATCACCTAAGAAGAAGATTGTGAGTCCCTGTGACTTCAATAGGGAGGGAGGAGGACTTGTACTCAGGCTCATCTGAATCCTATGGTTTGCCTTGAGGAGACAGCCCTGGCTGCCTGTGCCTTAGGAGGGGTGAATTTTCATGTTGGTTTCCGCTTGACCTGTTCCTCCTGTGTATTTTCTCTAGTCACGTTTTCTTTCCTCATCATCTCACCTTGTAGGCCCAGGCTGTGACTCTCACTGTGGCACAGGCCTTCCAAGTGGCCTTGGATCTCTGGCAGGCTACACAGGCAGGTATGCTTGATAGGTACACATTCCTGTAGTTGTTATTGAGAGGCAATTATGATTGTCGCCTCCCCCCCCCACATTTTGACTGAACTCCTTGCCTTTCTCCAGTGCAGAGGGAAGTGAGGTGCAGGAGGAAGGATTAATTCCCTGAATCAGATCTGGCTAACCTGTGAAGCTTAGAGGGCTAGCCAAAGGATGGACCGTGATGAGAGGAGGGGGACTCTTCACATCCTCCAAGGAACTTTCAGTATTATTATGAAGCTGGAAAGGGAAATCAGTTGCGGGGTATCTTTTCTCTTCAGGCTCCAAGGAGGAAGAAAAGCACCTTCCAAGGCCAATGTGCCCCATAGAAACCACTTGTCAGCCAGTCAGGACACCTCTGGGCAGCCCCCCATTCAAAACAGACTTTGAGGTATTGTATTGTTCATGTCCTTAGCTCCTTTCCCCCTTATTTTGCCTGCAGCATATTGGCTATGATGGCCAAGAAAGGTTCCCAGTTTTGGAAACAGGTCAGCGCATCAGAGGAAAGGAGCCATAGCCATGCTTATCTTGGGAGAATTGATGAGTCCGAGTTTCATAATAGTCTCTTTCTCTAGGATGAAGATGACGAGGAAGGAGATCTTAATGAAGGCTTCTCTGGGTAGGCATTTGAAGCCCATGTCAGGGTCAGTCTGGGAGGCCAGAGCCCAGGAGGTCTCATGGCTGGGAAATGCGTGACTGGAATCCCCTGTGACTGCAGGACTAAGTAACCCTGGCAGGTGTGTGGGTGGATAGAAATAGGTTAGCCCTAACATGTCTTTGTTTTCCACTTCAAAGCTGCATGGAGGAGGGGGGCTGCCCCACCACAGGTAATAAACTCTCTGTCTAACTTTGCTGTCAACACATTCCCAGGTTTACCTTTATAAAAATTGCTAATGTTTATGTTTTGCCATGTCCATGATGTTTATGTTTTGCCATGCCCATTATTGGCCTTTCTCGACTTTAGTGATAGAGCTCTAATCATTTTTTTCTAAAGTTTGTTCTTCCTTGTATTACTCACTTGTATTCCTAAACTGGAAGAGGGCACCATTCCCCTCAGTAGTTTTATTGCTAACTTTGTATTTCAGATGCAGGGAGCCTTACCTTTGGGAGCTCCCCAGTCACACAGTTCCACTCAGTGGCAGCCTGGGGATGCAGTCCTCCCAGCAACTGCCTGCCTCCAGGGACACTGTTCTAAATCACCTGTTGCTGCCATCACTATTCATCTCCAGCACCATTTTGTTACCTGCAATGCATAAAGAACAGGCTGATCTCCTTCTCTCCAGCCACAGACTCCCTTGCCTTGAATAAGTTGGTATTGTTCAGAACTTAAAGTCAATACCTACTAAAAGCATCAAGAGTTCTCCAGGGGCTTCATTGGTTCTACTCAAAAACCAGAACTCCTATGCTTGGTAAAGGGAATAGATACACTTTTTGTACTAAGGCATTGCCCTGAATGAAGAGGTAGGTGCTATGTAGCAAAAGCAATCAGATTTGTAATTCATTTCTTGCCCTGTTGAATTGGGGTCGGGAGCCTTGTGGATGTAGAAAAGTTCTGGCTTCTGTTTTACTTGAGAGGGTGACCCCTTGCCCCCAATTACTCATCACTGCCAAATCACAGCTTTGTAGCAAAAGATTTAATTTTTAATGTCATTTTTAAAGGTAAATAAATATTTCTACAGTTGTATTTGGGCATTTTTTCTTCCAATTGCTTCATCTTAGATTGATGAACAAGGGAGAGGGAGGTGTTGGGAAGGCTGTCCCCTGGGAGTCAATTCCTGCATAATATTCCATATCACAAAGTTTGCTTTCTCCCTAGAAAAAATACTTCTCTATTTTCTTCACCATTCTGATGGAGGGGCAGAAGCAGCATCTGGCCTTTGACTGTGTCATGGTATCTCTCGGTCTACATGAAATGAAATTGTTTGGTCTTTGTTAGTGTCTCCAAGCAGAGTTGATTCTTCTTCAGTGAGGTCTTTTTACATTTCCTCTCTAATTGCTCCTCTTAGGTATCAGTCTTTTGAGTCTTTACAGGAGAGGAAACTTATGGATCTTTCAGAGTTCTGATAAATCCTTTAGTCTCAGCATGGACACTTGCTTCCAGGAGGGGATCAAGAAATTGTATATACTATATGTTACTGGGTACTTTGAAGCAATAAAACAATGAATGGGGTTTGTTAATGAACATCCTTATCAACTCTCGATTTCAAGTCATTCTCATTACTTGAGGCCAAAAAGGAGATGCTCGGTCAAGCTGTTTGGGACTAAAACATATGTTGTGGACCAAGCAATTCCCCCCCCCACACATCTGCTACAATACATTTCAGCTGGTCTGTTTGAAGCAATTCCTAGAGAAGAGTGTGTGCACACAAGTATGGTCATTATAATGAATGTACCTTTTTTCTTTCCAGTTTTGAGACTTGTTTTAGGTAGACCCTCATAGCCAAAGCCAAAAGTTTCTCCTGCCTTTTGGAAATAAAAGTTATTTGACTCTAATATTAAATACATTCTAAGGATATGATTATCCATGACTGAGCAAACTGTGGTTCAGTCTCATTTTGCAGGTTTGCTCTTCCTGCTGAACCACAAACTAATATGTCTTTGTATAAATGATTGGGATGAAATGTTGGTTATTTGGGGCATCTGTTATGTAAACACAGATGTGGATTTTATTTCTTAGGTTTTAAATTCACTAGAAGATTTTTTTCCAGTATGTTGTAACCAAAAGAGACGATAGGAGGGGATAACTATATATGTCTGTGGCTTTAATGCTATAAAAAGCAGTATGTGATCGTTCTCTGTGTTAGGGCAATGCAATTGGCTTAGTTTAGTCAAATGTAAATGTTGATATGATTTCAGATACCAGCTCAGCTATGACCACTAGCTAGAGAATTCACCAGCAGTGAAAATTTTCACTCTTACCAACGTACAAGGCAATTCTGCCTCATTTTTCATGTGTGTCAGCATTTTTTATAGGAAAATACCTGAATGGCACATTTGCCTGACCCTACAGTCAGTAACATGTGAAGGATAAATGGATGCTGGTTCCATAGCTCTTCTAGTCTCCTATGCAATCATGCCCTGCTCTACTGTCTAGAGCGCAATACTCTTAGCTGAGGAATGGCTAGGATTCTTGGAAGACAAGGAATGCTGCTGGTATTTCTGTGCCACTGGTGATTCATATGGCTGCTTCCTGGTTTCAGGCTTGGTTTTGGGAATGAGATCTGATTCTCTGCTGGCATTACCAATTTGACTAAGAGCCTTGTTACAAATAGGAAATGCCAGCTGCTGAGAATGTTGTATAAATGTGGCTCTTCCCCTAGTATGTAAGACGACATTCTTTCAGCTCCTCCCTTTGTGGTTCTGGTGAGGGATAGAGGCACAGGAATAGGGAATAGCCTTCTCAATTGGGGTATAGATTTGGGGATATTTGGCACATTGTATGGCACAAGAGTTGTTGGCACAAGGGAGATTACAGGAGCAAAACGACCTTACAAAGAACTGATAGCTTATGGCAATTCTGATAGTAGGTGGTAAGTACTCTGAAAGAGAAGGTAACTCTAGAAGCTCACAATGATGCTGCTTCCTTCTACTGCTCTTCAGAGTAACATGATATTTTCTGAATAGGCTCTGAAATTAAATTCTCACTAATGGTTGGGATGGGGTGATAAGGACAATCTAGAGTTCATCTTTTTCTCCACTCCTTGATGAAAGCAGACTACTGGATAGGTTGAAAACCTTTGGGTTCCTTGTATCCGTTATTCATTTCAAGATGCAGTTTGTTTCTCTGCCACTTGCTGGAGACATGGAGCCTGGGTTTTAGGACTGCAGGCCATGCTTTAGGTTCTCATTCAGGGTTGAAAGAAAATGTGGCCCAGTATAATGCTGCTTCCCACGTCAGCAGGAAGGAAGTCTTCACTGAAGTCTGTTCCCAGGTTAGCACTTCATGGTGCTTCCTGCTGCTGGTTTGAAGGCTTCTGCAGCTGGCTGTTCCTTGCGGCCCAGACTTGTTTCTATTACAACTTCAGGACGAGAGGTTAGTTAGAGGCCAGCTTCTACATGCACCTTGTCTTGGCAGCTGGCTCCATGCAGATCCCTCCTTCAGGGCAAGAAGCTTTAATTCTTTGCATGCAGGTGAAGAGCCAGACCCAGGGCCCAGCAATGTTCCAGCAGCCTTCTGGAGTGCTTCGAGCCTGTGTGGCAACAGCTATACTTCAATGATATTGATAGATGGTGATTTCTTCTGTATAAGAGAGAGATGTTTAGGCTAAAATGTTTTTTTAAAAAGTGCAGTTGTAACTGATCCTCCTCTAAACTTCTACTTACGATTCCCTTTCTGCCCATTTGATTTCTTTGATTGATTCTGTTCCTCTGTTGCACTCAACAACAGAAGAGATTTGAATGAAGAGAGTCTATCAAAGGGTCAAAGTCACCTAAACTCTTATTGCAGGATAGAGGCAGTCCTTGGGTTACAGTGGCAATTGGGGCAATAATTTCCATCGCTAAGTGATGCGGTCATAAACCTCAATGTCATGTGAACTCATTGCTTAGTGACAGCCATCCTGGCAGTCCCAGTTGCCATCATAACTTCAGGTTGCTAATTGGGAAAAGATGGGAGTCTTAAGCAAGGTGCATGGGGTAATGGCGCATGTATCTTGAAGGGGTGCCATGGGCCGACACTATGGATCATGGGGGGGGGGGGGTGCTGTAGCTGGACACTGCAAAGCATGGCTGGCTGGCTGTAGGTGGGCACATCTGAGCATTGGCGGGCTGGTAGAGGCTGCAGCCAGGCCCTACAGATACAGGTTGGCTGGAAGGGGCTGCTATGGCGTGTGGGCAGGCAGAGAATCCCTGGGATCTTGTACTCCATAGTGGGTGTCCTTGGGAGAAAAAGTGGTGGGAGTGACCTATAGGAGCAATATGATTTTCTCTGCCTCCTCCCCTATTGACTTTACTTGTGAAAAGCTGACAGGGAAGGCTTCAAATGGCGACCATGTGACTATAGCTTGCTGCAGTGTTGTGCCTGGATCACGTGCATGTTACTACTAAACGCAAGTTGAGATATGGAATGTTTGTGTATATATCTAGCAGAAGTCAAGCCCAGTTCAATGATATCTTAACTAATTAGATACTAAATGAAAACATGGAATTTTCAAACAAAAGATGAACCAATTTGTTACCAACATAACTTATAAAAATGATTTTATATATTCATGGTTGTTAAACTATGGCTGCTAGTCATTATGCCTAACTAACCAGTTTGGGAAGCAGTATATTCAAATGGATGGGGGATTCGGTTGCCCTTATATTCTATTATTAGTTTCATATATATGCCTGTCTGCTCCGACAACGGAATGCAGGACAAAAGGTCCTTTAATATGATCCAGTGTCACTCTCACACTATTTTATTAATCCATCCAATAGCTAATAATTCCTGGGCCCGTACAAAATGATTGCACCATTTGAAAGCATTTGAATAATAGAACAGCAAAAGGCAATTAGTAGCACAGGGTAAGATAAATAATAAGATAAGGATAATGATAGATGATATAATAGATAATATATGATAATACCAAGATAATGATAATGTAAAGTGATTGCACACATTTAAAAACTATATAAATGTATGGGTAAGTGGCCATCTTAACCTGAAAAGCTGAACATGGGCCACAGGTATAAATATGAGGCAAAGCATGTGTCAGCAAAAACGTATCCTTTATTCTCCTATACTGGAGGTACTTGATTCTCTTCAGGCAATCTTAAGAGAATTAAGAAGAATAATGTTTAATAATAGATAAGAATAACAGTCTTTCCACTCTCTGGGTCCATTCTCATCCTGCAATGTTAAAAGAAGTGTTTCTTTAATAATTGTATTGTTTTCCCTCTCCTTTGCCACTTCCTCCTATATACATTTTCTCATCTTCCATTGGTACATTTAAGTATCCATCTCTCTGTCCTTTTCTCTCTATAGCTGTTATATTGAAAAGATTCTTATTTCCAAGATGCAAGAAGGTAATGAAATAGTACAATTGAGTAAAGTATGAGTTTCTTTTTGTATATAGTGGTAAAATTAATTATATTTGGTTAATTAAACTCTGCTTTTAATGTTACAGTATAATGATCACTCAAATACTTCTTCAAGATGGGGAGGGAAACTTGTAACTTATTTACAACTGACTTTTTTTTTAATCTGTTCCTCCATCATACTGCTACTGCCCTTCTGTGGGAGCTGTTTGGATAAACACTCTGGAAACTTGCTGGTTGAGCAGAGATTTCACTCTTACTCCCTTATTCCATACTGGTTTGGAAATGTTACCTTCCTATTTTCAGATTTCTTCTCAAAATTCATCTTTTTTGAGGAGCCTTTATTACAGTCCCTTAGAACTAAACAAATACTTGCATTGTTTATACTAAAGATAGTGCTTTCCCTCTTAATTTAAATCTCTTCCCATTCTTCAGTTGTTTTCACTACGTCCATTTCATATCAGTGCAACTCCTACCACCTTCCATTATCATTACTGGGCACAGTGGACTGGGCTGATGGAAGTTGATCTATGACTGGAGGACTCATCCAAGTTGAAAAGTGTCAGTTCAGATGTTTAACCACAATGGCAACACAATAATCTGCCTTGATGTAATACCACTTCCTGTACTTCTGTAGATTACTCTGATAACATATTCTTTTTTTTTAACTCTCCAAAGTACCATATTTTGTGATTTTTAACCATGCATTGCTTGCTCTAAGGTTGGCCAAAGAAGTTTTCAGATAGTTCATTTTTAGATATTTCTTTTTTCTCTCCTACAACATATCAAACCATATTTCCAACTGAATAATAATAAAAGAGAAAGAATTGGAGAAAATATTTACTTGGTTCCTGAGACAACACTTTTAATATTATTAAACATCTGCCTATCCCAACTCTGTAGAAAAGACCCAAACATAATAATACATTAAATATGTATGCTGCTTGACTCTCGACAACAATTGAATTAACTTATTAATTTTTTTTCCTATGTCAGGGAAAGGGGAAAGGGAACAAAATTCTCCCTTCGTATGCATTAATTTAGATATTTCTCCTACAAAGCCCCAAATTTCTCTGCCAAAAAGAATCTTGTGTAATCATTTTGTCTTCATTTTAGAAACACATTACCTAGACACCAGTTCTTTATACTGAGATTAAGCTGATCAGAGAGGTAAACTGTAAATACTAACTTTTCCCCTTGTGATTGTTTTGCAAATCAAACTTTAGGCTAACACTTCTCCTAATGGTGGGATGCCCATTCAAAGTTATTTTCCCCTGGGACTAAAAATGTTCAAATTCATTTTTAATGTATGATACCAGTAAGCATTGTGTTCTCTTTCTCACTCTCATATACATATGTACATTGATATTCTTTCAACAACCTGTTTTGTTTACTGACAGATCTATATTTGATGTTAAAATCCTTCTATCATTTCACATAACCAGATATTTACATTTTAATATTTTTACATAAGACTTAGCAGAACTTTTTAATACAAGTAAAATGCTTTCAGCATTCAAGTATGCAGTTTCTGACTTCTTTAGAGTTTGAAAAAGAATGACAAGCAGAGCCCGGTATGGAAAAAATAATGTAGTATAATTGTCATGTTATTGAACAAGAACTGGAAAACTTGAGTTCAACTTAGTTTCTTCCTGAGCCATAAAAATTCACTAGGGGATTTTGAGCCATTCTTTCCCTTTCAGCCTAGCTTTATTGTGAAGAAATGGTGTGTGCTATCTGTAAACCCTTGTGGAAAGGTGGAATATAACTTTAATAAACAAAACGATCCATTTTATCTACCAGTTCATTTGTACAAAGTATATGTACATACTGGGTAACATACTTTTTCTTGTTAATTTCATAGAGTAATAGATCAGAGGGCTAGAAGGGACCTTGGAGGTCTTCTAGTCCAACCCCCTGCCCAAGACAGGAGATCTTATTGCATCCCGGACAAATGGCTGTCCAATATTTTCATGGATTTCTTACTATGAAGCTGACTGCAGCAACTTTGTCTTTCAGAAATAGACTCCTATGCCTGACTTCAAAAGGCAGAACACAGCAATGCTTCCTACTGCTGAGTTTGAAACACAAATCCTAATTTAGTTCATCAAACAAAGCCTGATAATATTGGGTTACTACATGTAACCCAATTATTTGCAAATAATAGAAAGATGGAGTGACCGCATTCCCTCATTTCTTACACGATGTCCGTTTCGGTTCAATATGTTGCCATGATGGTATTCTAACAGCTCTCGGAGCATGTTGTCATTATTTTATTTTTTAAAATTCTAGGCACCACCTGGCAGCTGATCTTGAATTGGCATAGAGTCACTTTTTGTGAGATATAGCTATACAAATTTGATTAACAATAAAGTTTAAAGTTTGGTATCCTTATACAATTAGATTCATATTACATCCTAAGTGAAATAAAGCCCTGCATTATAGCTTAAGTGAGGAGTAAAGATTGAGAATATGGCATATAATAATTGTAGTAAACAATGATGCTGGTACCTCTAGCAAAGTCTCTTACCTTGTGTCACAGGTCCTCTTGGTGGCCCAGTGCGCTTGTGAACCTCTCCCTGCCAGTTTCAGTCCATCTGAAATGAATCCGTCTTGTACCCCTTGCTCACTTCTTCTTTGCCCAGTACCTTACCTTGCTACGTAGTAGCCCCCCCGTGGGCCGCTCTGGAGTGCTATGTTCTGAGGAAGGCTTGGTCTTCTCTTTATTATTGTTGGAATCATTGTCCTTAATGATGTCATATTGCTTGCAGAAGAGTGCGATCACAGCTGGGGAAGGAAGGAAGAAAGGAAGGAAGGAAGGAAGGAAGGAAGGAAAGGAAGGAAGGAAGGAAGGAAAGGAAGGAAGGAAAGATGAACCAGGGAAACTCAAATTCCAGCATTCTCTTCATTTGAAAAGCTATGCTCCTTCATTTAAAATATTCTAGTGTCTCTCTGGTTCTTTCTCTCTGTCTCTCTCTCTCTCTCACACACACACACACACACATACACAATACATTCCCCCATTTTGAAGTAATTATTTCATCCCCAAATGTTTGTGTCTGTGTATAATTTGTTGAGAATGCCTGGAATGGGGGGCAACGGCCAGGTTCTTCAGATGTTCAAAGCCAATATTAAGCATGGCTTAGTGCGATGTGTGAAATCTAAACGGACACTTGAGCTTGTCTCAGGTGAGGAATTGGAAATTGTGAAAGCTCCTTTGAGAGTTCACATGTTTCTATCTATTAAAGATTGCCAATCAAGAGCAGGTGCAATCATGCCATACATGGTATTAATTGATAGAACAGTGTCATAGAGAGAGCAAAGCTTGATAATTGGTTCCACAGAACTTCCATTTATCACATATTGTATATTCCTACCTGAATATTTCTTGCTTTGCTCTCCTTTTTAAAATGTTACAGTTTGCCCAAAGCAGAAACACAAAACTTTGCAAAGGCATACACTATCAAAGGTCCAAACTGAACAATATAAATGGAAGTTATTAAATATTATGTTTATAAAACTGTTTATGAACCTAAAAATTTTTAGGCAGAAATGTAGAGGCTAGTGATTGTGATTTTAAATACTTTTAAAAAAATCCTCTAAAAATTATTTAGAAATGGGCAGAGAGAAACACCCAAATCTTCATCCCCTGTTTTACATAGAGCCAAACTAGTCTTTCAAGGGGCAAGTACCCAAGCATTACAACGGAGCAACTGGTGAATAATGTGCAAACAGATATTGAATGAGGATAAAGAAATATCTTCCCCCATCACATATCTGTTTCCTCTCTGTGGAAGTAGTTTTAAACTGAAAATGTTTTAAAAGAATAAAATCCATCTGTTCCTATAGCCCTTGAGAATTGTCTAGTTTATCATTTAAAGAGAAGGAGCATAAAAAATTGGCATAATCTTGAATAAAGACATGGGGAATTAACATTCATATTAATTTTATTTCCATTATGCATTATGAAATTATGAGATCAAAATCTCTAGCCTAACTTTTCTCTTGCCCTATCTCTGTTACCTGGCAAATGAGTTGATGACATCTTAAAGAAGAAAGAAGCTTTTAGAGTGCAGTACTGTAAGTTAGAAGCATGATCCACATACAGGTAGTCCTCAACTTATGACCACAATTGAGCCCAAAATTTTTGTTGCTAAGCAACACGGTCGTTCAGTGAGTTTTGCCCCATTTTCTAACCTTTCCTAAGTGAATAACTGCAGTTAAGTTAGTAACACAGTTTGTTAAATGAATCTGGCTTCCCCACTGACTGCTTGTCAGAAAGGTTACAAAAGATGATCACATGACTGTAGGACACTGCAACTGTCATAAATACATGCCAGTTGTCAAGTGACTGAATTTTGATCACGTGACCATGGGATGCTGCAACGGTCATATGTTACTTTTTTTTTAGTGCCATTGTACTTCGAACAGTCAGTTGGCTAATGGTTGTAAGTCAAGGACTACCTGTACCATATTTTTGTTTGGACAAGGAAAGAAATATTTGGGTTTGGATTAATTTAGAAATGTTTGTTTAACTTTACATTTGCAGAGTTTACAATGTTGCTTTCCTTTCCATTCTGGCTTCCATTCTTTTTATAACTATTAACATCTCCAGGAATTAAATGACTTATGAACTGACCATTCCTAAGCTGAATGCTGTAGACACCGAACAGAACTTGAAAGGCCCTTCTTCCTTTGAAGTCAGGTAAAGGGTCAGAAGAATAGAAGCCAACTTTTTCTGAAGCCAAGTCTTCCACCCACCATTAGTATTTGTTAGAGCACAGTGAACTGCTTGTTATTACAGCATTCAATTCCAAGAGTGGCTAATCCATTACCTTAAAAAAATCTAAAATGAAAGTTGTGAACAGAAGCCCTTTCCCTGTCAATTAACAGGGAAGGATAGCCAATTGTACTGGACTTTTAAGGGCGGGGGAGAGGGTTAAGAAACACAGTTTGTGGAAGAGAGGGAGGAAGGGAGAAAGGTACAGACTTGTCAGAAGAAGCCAGCCTTTGAATATACAATATCTGCAGAGAATGGATTGTGCGACACAGGAAAATGTCACCCTTCAAAACTGGGGAGGCCAAATAAGACCTATCATGCAGTGGATGCAAACACAAGAAATCAGGACATGAAGTATTGTACTCGACAGAGTTGCTAATGGCCATCTCCATAGTAATTTACATACTTAAAGGATATGTAATACAAATGTAAACAATGGATTAATCTTTGGAACAAGGATGCAAGTACCGAGAACAGGCACAAAAAGTATACAAAAATAATAGAAAAAGGATCTGGGATTCACATGCAGTTTGCAAGATTCAATAGAGCTTCTTGAAATAATCCATTTCCTTTCAAAACGCAAATATAATGATTTGCTATAAAAATAACATTTGCAATGTTTAGAAAAAGATAAACATTAAATAATGTTTGATCACGTCTGGTAGAATCATTGTTCATTCATAGACAATTATATGTAAGAATGGCTATTATGATAAATAAGGATTAAAATATGTAAAAAACTGTACAAAGACCACATACTAGAGAAAAAAAGAACAAACATGCTCTTCAAATAGGATCTGACAGTTTGGGGAAAAATTAGGCAACCAAAGGAAAACAAAAGAAACACTGAGATGCTTCAAGAATTCAAATTACTTAATTTGCAAACTAAGTACGTGAACAAGCAGTAATCTAAAAATGTTATGGAAAAATACTCCTTGAAAAAAAATGCATTGAATTAAAGCAGTATAGTCAGCCTGGAAAAACATTACTTATCAACTCTGTCAATGCTTTTATCCTCATTACTGAATTTACTCATTTTTTCTGGGTTCTGCATAATATATTAAATCACAAATTAACTGAACAGATTTGGTTTGTGCAGTACTCTAATCCTCCCTCTCTCTCTCACACACACACATAAATATCATTCACTGTTGTATATTATGACATAGAATGTACAAAAGATCTGGAATTTGTATACAATACAATAAGGAGATCTCGTTATTTAACAGACAATCAGCTACTACTCCTTTTTGTTTTCTGTGCTTTAATAATGGGTTTTATATTTCTAGGTTTAGCATCTAAATTGGTCAAATGCATCTACGGTAATAGTTGCAATAGTTTTTCTTAGCCGTGGTGGTACAGTGGTTAGAATACAGTACTGCAAGCTACTTCTGCTGCCTGCCAGCTGCCTGCAGTTCGACAGTTCGATTGTGACCGACTCATGATTGACTCAGTCTTCCATACATTTGAGGTCGGTAAAATAAGGATCCAGATTGTTGGGGGCAATATGCTGACTCTGTAAACTGCTTAGAGCTGTAAAGCACTGTGAAGCTGTATGTAAGTCTTAAGTGCTATTGCTTTTACTAAGGATTCAGGTAAAGTTTCTATGATATGTTATAGATTTTAAATGTGGCCATGAGTATCTGATGGGCCAGAACTCACACTAATGATAAATGTTGAATATTGACAGGCTGAGCAAAATTCACAAGATATCAAATGCTGATACAGTTTGTCCTCAACTTACAACCATTCATTTAGTGGCCATTTGAAGCTATAACAGCAGTGAAAAAAGTGACATGACTGTTTTTCACACGACAGTTGCAGCACCCCCATGGTCACATGATCAAAACTTGGATGCTTGGCAACTGGCATGTATTTATGATGGCTGCAGTGTCCTGGGGTGATGTGATCCCCTTTTACAGCTTTCTGACAAGCAAAGTCAATGGGAAAGTCAGATTCACTTAAGCGTGTTACTAACTTAACAACTGCAGTGATTCACTTAACAACTGTGGCAAGAAAGGTCATAAAATGGGGCAAAACTCACTTAACAACTGTCTTGCTTAGCAATAGAAATTTTGGGCTCAATTTTGGTCATAATTTAAGGACTACCTTGCCTGAACATCAAATATCTAATACTTTTGAAAACACTTGGCTGTCAGGAACTTGTAGAAGATATTTTTTTCTGCTCCAATAGCCCTGGACCAAAGTAGTAGCCAATCCTAAAGATGTACTGTAGAAAGCAACTTTGTGCATGCCAAGTAAGCACTTGACTTCCAGCCACAATCCTGCCTAAATCCAGAGAACCCAGGAAAACTCACCTGCCCACATAAGCAGCACAACCACAATGATAATAATCTCCCCCGTCTGCAGCTGCCGCTCTTTGTCCAGGCCCTCCATTGTGATGTCTCCTGTAGAAACATAAGGCTGGAACTTGGCAAGGAGATCATTCATGTTACCAAGTAAGACAAGAATTCCTCAGCGCCTCCATAGTTGCTTTGTTTCACATTTAGAACAGGTCATCTCCCTTGACAGAGAGCTAGGAAAGACCATCTTTCACTAACTATCCTTTGGTTCGTAAGTAAGAATTATCCATATGCAGCTGGAGAGTGACGAAGAGAACATTACAAGGTAGCAGATGTGGGGGGGGAGCTGACCTTGCAGGGCTTTGTTTCTCATTGGGATGAGCTGGATGCTGGTGAGAGAATGCAATGCAGAGACCGGCCTTCTCGAAGCCACATAGCCAACTTTAGCAAGTGGTTAATGATTGACATAAAAAAAAAAAAACTAAGCAAGTTGAAGCAAGCAGAAAAAGGAGAAGACCATGGATAAAGGGGATGGATGGGATCAGAGAAATTACTAAAAAATAACCTTGGAAAAGATATGAGGTGTGGCTGGAGTAAGTTTGATACGGCAGACAATTGCTTATGCAGTCATAATGAGTGAAACCTGGGTTGATGACACCAGACTAATTAACAAAAGGGTCTTGCTTACCTTGGTTTGAACTGTTGGACGGAAGTCGGTCACTTTGCTTTAACGTGCGAAAATGGACTCTCTTGCTAGCCTGACTCTCTCCGTGGAGGCCAATGCTCTGGACCTGAATGATGTAGTCTGCATCCTCTGCCAGATCCCAGAGTACACAGGCCCTGTTTGTGGTGTTCACCTCCCGGATGAATCGTTGCATTTGCCCATCTTGTCGCTGCCAGAACCAGGAAGGTTGTTAAAGCTGGAGGCCAGCCAGGCTGTGGGACAAGCCCTCAGGCTCACCTTGCCTACTTCCACCAGGCGGCTTAAGGAGAGTTACTGCTACTCTAAGGGACTGATTAGTCCTCATCTGGGGGGGATGCATCTGAACTGAAGAAAGTGATAGCCCACGGAGGGGTTAGAAATGGGAGGTTTTGGCTGGGTTGGGGTGTAAAGGTTTGATGCTACTTGGTCCCCTGAGGAATGACAGGCTTCCTTTTGGGAGTGCCTCAACGCAAGCTCACCTGCTGTGAAATGGCATAGCCAATTATGACGTCTCCTTCTGGCACATCCCAGGAGACGGTGGCTGAGTTTGCCTTCAGCTGTGTGACAGTCACGTTGACAGGCGATGGGGGCCGATCTATGAGATGCAAGAAAGTTATTGGTGGAGAACCCTCACCGGCTGCTCCCTTCCATTGCTCATAATTAACTTAGCTTCAGAGTGCTGCAGTTCGAGCAGAGAGGCAATTTCCTTTCTGCTCCAGTCAATATAACTCCACACAGCATTCTTAACCTGGCTATTGAATTAATCCAGTTTTTAGATTTGCACAATTATAAAGCAATGAAACAGGGTGGGTTTGCACAACACACTAAACAACAAAAAAGCCTAACCAAGGCTGTCACTAACCAATTTTAGCTAGATGTGCAAACACAGCCTTCTTGAACTGATCCAGAAAGCCCAGCCTCAAAAGTTACCATTATTCCTTAAGGAGGGTTTTTAAAGATCCCACCCATTTGGCTACTATCCCACCCATTTGGCCACTATTCATGGCATTCAGCTTTTCTGTACAAAGCCAAGAGCCATCAGCCTGGCTAGAAGCCCATAGCAGCCCAGTGCAAGTCTGCCAGGCCAAGGACATAGGTGGAGTCAACTCTGTTCTCCAGCAAGTGTTAATTTGCTAATGGGAGGCTGGCAGCAGTGTATGGTGTGCCAGCCAGGAATGCAGTAGTGCCGGCAGATAACTTGTACCAACAGACTTCACTGGGTCTGGGTGGCTGTTCCTTCTCTTCCCACTTTCCAGATGAAAAAGATGCATGGCTAAGGCAGAGGGCAAGGAGATTTTTCTTCACTGAAGGAATGCTAAGCTTCTCAGGACAGGGCACTGCTGACCTTGAGAACCTGAAGTGAGGCTACTGGTGAATGTCTAAACTCTTCCCAGCTCCCAAAAGAAGAACACTTGGGGGCTTTCTTCACTAGCCAATCCAGGACAGTGGAGGGTGCCCCTGCCTTGTTTTGAGGGGAACATAGATGCCTTTCTTGGTCTCTCACTCAGGCATCCTCAGGAGTTTGAGCCTTAGCCATTTGAGCAGATGTGAAGCTGAGTTCCAGAAATATTGCCCACCTAGAAGTAGCAGCGACAGGAATTTATTATGAATGTCAATAAATGGTACTGCATTTAATATTGTCATACTGAATATGTAGCTTCTATTTATTTGCAGCATTTCTTTTCTACCCTTCTGCCAGAAAGGCTTTTTTGAGGCCTACAAAAAGTACACAGAGGCCCAGTCTTAATGTCCCAATGAACTGTATCTCTTCCTCTGCCACCTCCTTGTCAAATGCAGAGGGAGTTTGGAAGGGAGAAGAAGCAAAGCCTGATTGAACTGCCTTTAAAGCAAGGTAATAGAGTTCCATCTGCCATAGCCGATGAAGGAACTTCTCAGGGAGAGATAAAACCTGATGGAATTGATTTCCTTCTTTTGTGGGGGTTTTGTTTTTGTTTTTTAAGTTACATTTTTGTTTTTTAAGAAATTTATATGGTTGGTCAACTTGGACAACTGTAACTCTGAGCAATGTACAAGAAGCTAAACAAATGTAGTTAAAACCTCAACTGCAATTAATAGGTAATCAGGAACCCACAAAATACATTACAGCAGTACCTCCAATCAACCTGGCCCCAACGCCAAGGGAAAAGTTGAGTTTTTAATGCTTTTTAGAGCCTGTGTGGGAGAGACCATTCCAGAGGGCAGATCCTCTGTGGAAAAGATTTGTTTTGCTACAAGAAAGGCTGCTTTGTGATTGTGAAATACAGGATATACATTTAACAGCACCTTTTTTTGTTTAAAAGCAAGTCACATTATTTAAATCTATTCCTTTAACAGTAGATAAATGTGATGAATATTTAGAAACATAGAAACTAAGCAAGAACATTGTGTATTAAGAGGGAGCAGAAGTGGGAAGAACCAGCAAAATCTTACTTTCTTCCTAAATTCTAAATTCATAAAAATTATGAGCATTGAATGTGCTCAGTAACCATATTGTTGAGTATCAGTTTGAAAACTTGGATGGGAATAGATTGGCGGGGGGTGGGGGTGGGGGAGGCAACTTGGCTATCTGTCTGATTTGAACCCTGAATCAGAACATCCTGCAAAATTTTATCCTATAAATCACACTGTATCATTGAATTCCAAAGATCAAAATGTTTTTAGCTGTTTTTTGCTTATATATTCACTTTATTTTCTAATTCATTTGCTTGGAAAGTCAGAAAGGGTGTCCAAATGCAGCACAAGTCAACATTTTTTAGAGGGAAGCGAAAGCTAAAGAAGGAAATACTGGGAGGAAACTATATAAAGGCTTCACACTGCTTGTGTGTGAGAGAAAGAGAGAGATGTAATATGTTGGTTAGAAATGCCTCTTTTCATCTGCTTCTTAGTTTGGATCCTTTCCAGACCTCCTAATGGAAATATACTAACACCAAGAACCTTGCAAATTTGGCCTGTAGCACATTTACTGCATCAGCTGTTTTCACTTTATTATCTGTTGCTGATCTTCTGACAAATGGGGCATCACACCCATTAGCTGTTACTTGAACTCTGCTACACTCTCATATTTCACACGTTTCATTAATGAAGCCATTTGTATCACTACTGTGTCCAGCTTTGTCCCTTTGCTGGTCCTTGTCCTATTCTTCATTGAGCAACAGACCTGCCTTTCTTGATCACTTCGGTTACCTGTTCCTGTCCAGCTGAATTTCTCAATGTCACCATGTGGTCATCTTCACTGAATCCCTGGCTTAGCTGGCCAAATTTTCAAGGCTTTTAAATGTTTGATTTTTAACTCTATAAATATAAAGCATTTGAAGATACTAATTGTAAAGAGGAATATATAACTATCCAAAATTTAATACCTGGGAGTTATTAAGTTATTATTGTCATTGCAGTTATGTCTGCAACATAATCTCCAGATGTGTAATACTAAAACTTCCAGAATTTTTAACCAGTTTGGCTAGTTAAAGTGGACTAGAAATTCTGAAAATTGTACTAGAAGTATAATTGTGCCAGGAGTATAATTCCTTTGCTAATGTAGATGCTTTGCAATTTTATCTAAATGTGTGTGAATCCCTTCCACTTGGTTATGCTAGAAAACCAAAACCAATAGTTTCCTAGCAGATTGCATATGGTTTATTATAAGCTATAAAACCAAATGAATAGTGCTACTCTACCTTAGTTACATTCATAAAAATGTTAACACTGTCAAGAAGATATATTTGGCAATCAGCACAGAACAAGCAAGAAGAATAATTCCAAAGTATATTTGTTTGAATGGGAGTGGGCACCTTTTAAGCCAAATGCTGCTCTGAGATACAAAAGGCTGTACATGATCCATCTGTTGACTTTGATCTCAGCCTCTATGTCCCTACATAGGAAGAATGCATTGATATACCATTTAGTTTATTTTCTCTCTCCACTGCCTGAGCCATTATCTTAGCACATACTTCTGTTTGCCTCACCCCACCCACACCTTTCAGAGGCAGCAAATAGCATTTCATATATAGCTAGGGCTAAAAAAAAAAAAGTGAAGTAGCCTTCACCAGTAATATGTACTACTGTGTATGTGTGAGTGGGGTTGTGATTCATCTGGAACTAGTATCTCAAGCTAATGGAGTGGAGCAAATGATTGTTTCCTTTCTACCAAGTGCCAGATTCCCTGTCTCTCTGTGGCTTAAAATTTGAGATGAATGTGGGCATGGACTTTGGTGTTTGTTGCAAGGTGCCAAGTACATACTTCTTAAAAAAAAACTTCGCAGCTGGCAGACCAAGAGCACTTGGATGAAGACTTCAGAGAAGACCTAGCAAGGCCAAATGGCCACAACCTTGAGTCAAGCTTTTATTCTAATGAAATTGGCTGAGATTTGGATGCTGGGCAAAAGGAAGGGTTGTGTGGGGGACTTCTAAGATGAGAACAAGGCAACTCGGGTGTTGAGAGTCTTTCTTGCTTCCAAATCTCATACAACCGAATTGTCCCAAAGGGACTTTGTTCTTTTGTCCAGTGACACAGCTGTCTCTAACCATCTCACTGTAGAAACACGGGCAGACAGGCAGGCCTGAGCCCCTCTCCCTAAAGCAGAGTCACACTATCCCTTATAGGTGGCCCCTGAAGCAGAAAAGCACAGGGGATCCAGTTCAGCACCAAAGCTAGTGACCGCGAAGTGGGCTGGTCCGAAAGGGCGCCGAAAGAGGAAGCGCTGGAAGAAGTTGCCATGGGGGGGGGGATCTCAGACTGGGGATCTCGGTCGCCGGTCCAGACCCACTGGGGAGATTCTCCCACCCACATCCCTCTCCTACACTTACTTGCGCGCACAAGGCACAGGTCGCAGCTGACCAGGACCAGGACGGCGGCCGGGTTGAGGTACGTGGGAATTGGAGCCATGATCGCGGCCAGATGCAGCAGCTGCTCATCGAGTCGGGCGGGATGTCGGCGCGGCTTCGAGTTCGTCGGGAGCCCCGCGACCAAGGGGTCTTGACGGCCGTCTCCGGGGCGCTCAAGGTGGCGAGGGACGCGCGGATGGAGCCGCAGTGTCCGCCGCAGGGACGAGCGCCACGCTCCCCCAGTCAGCAGTGGCGCCGGAGCTCGGCGCCGAACCGCCACCTGCTCCGCCGCCGCTTGGCGGCTCCATCAGGCGGGCCCAAAGCCGCCGGGAATCTCAGCGGAGCTCCGCGCTGCTGCTGCTGCTGCTGTTGATGCTGCTGTTGTAACCGAAATCCGCTACCGGGTCTGTGGCGGCGGCGGCGGTGGCAGAGTCGACTCAACCCCGCCGCTCCTGCCAGCCACGCCAAGTCATGAGCCGCTGAATACTGTCGACCGGGCAAGCGGCGTCTTGGACGTCCCCCCCCCCCTCTTCCTCCTGGCCGCGCGCCGGCGCTCCGCCCTCGGCCCAGGGAACAATGGTTGGTTTGAGTCTGCGGGAGACCCAGGCGGCAGAAGCCCGTCCCTGAGCAAGCAGGGCTGGGCTGGGCTGAGCTAGGCTGCACTGGAGAAGACGCCGCCTATGGAGCAGGGCGACCCCTGCAATCATGCCTGGGGCGTTCTTGGAGTATTTTTGCAGCAAGACACATCTGGAGTAGGCATAGGGTTGCCAGATCTGCTTCCCAAAAATAGCGGACAAGCGGAGGGGGGGGGGTTAAGTAGTAAAAAAAGTAGACTGTACAGCTTTAGATTACGTACGTACATACATTTAGATTACGTACATTTAGATTACGTACATTTCATCATAAAGCTTTTGAATAAAAAAAATGTCCACTATTTTGTGGAAAAAAATAGTGAACATAATGTGAAAAAAGTGGACTGTCCACTCAAATAGTGGACACCTGGCAATCCTAAGTAGGCATCGGAAATGGGGGGAAATCCTGAGCGTTGTTAGACGAGAGAACTGTCAGGGGAGGCCCACTTGTTGAGACATGCACTCCGGAAGGCAAAGACGCCTGGAGGGGGCAAAAAAGGCAGACGCTTTAGGTTGATGCCCTACCAGCTGCTTCTGCCCTCTTTGTAGCTGTTATCAGCTAGTGGGAGGTGTCACGTGGAAACTGTTAAAGCAAGGCACAGTTGTTTTTTTTAACCACCCAAGATTTACACCATATTACCTAGTTGGGTTATGAAACATCTGCAAGAAAACAAACAAGCTCAGAGAGCCCCAAGGACCTCACATTGAGCTACAAATATTCTCTATTGATTTCATACTAGACTAGATTTTCTGAAATGGCAGAAAACTAGAGAGGAACTTTTTAAAAAAATTACACACATAGACACAAATATATAAGGAAAATAGCATTACTTTAGAAATAAAATCAGCAAAAAGAAAAAAAATGCAAAGTACTGTAATAGATAAAGCATTTATATCCAGTAATGAAATAACTTTACACAAGTTATCCTAACAACTCAAGACATATACTGTAAGTGAAAAGCTTCATGAAAACACATTTGTCTATTCCTACAAATATTCTCAATGAAGAATCCTGTTATGTGTTACATTTAATGACTGTATATCTTTCTATACCCATTTTATAGCAACTTTATTTTTAAAAGATGTTGCTACACATATACACATCTTGCCAAAAATTTATATGTACATGTGTGGTGTGTGTACACATATACATGCATGTGTTATGTACTTGTGCTTTTTATCAGAATACAGTACATCTCCAGCAGCTATCCTCCTGGATATTATACATTTATAGATTTCCCCATCTACATAAACTATTACATGACTTTTGAGGTCTCCATCAGTACAGTTTGTTTCCTGCTTACAGGCAATTGAGCTGCTAAGGGAGTTTCAACAAATTGATACTATGCCAGACTAATAACTAGGCTAACTCTAAAACAAACGAACAAACATACAAATAAATGCAAAATAAAATCAGACATTTAAAAGCCATTGTCTTATTTAGTCATCAATGATTAATCAAGAAACCGCTTAGTAATGTGAACCTTTGTTCTTTTGCTCAGCTGACTGGAGGCAGAGAAAATGCTGTGTCCTGTAAAGACTGACATGATGACAGTTCTACGTTTCCTTCTTTCTAAAATATGAGAAATTATCTGTTTTCTTGCTTAAGCTAACAGGGTAGATCTCCAGTTGCTCAAATCATTTTCATTCTCTCTCTTGATCAATCCTATTTGTTGACGGAAGCAGTAATTTTGGGTGTATTGCGCCCTCTACTGACAACAAGAAGAATAGTTATATTAGCAAGCTGGTGCAGAGACGTCATTAAGAAATAACGGCCTAGCCTGGCTGAGAGTCAGAGGAAGCGCAGCTGTCTATAATTTGGGTTCTCACATCATAGATTTACCCAGCACATAAAACTAGGCTAAAATGGGTTTGGGTAGTTCATGATTCAATATGCTGTGAGAATCCAGTAATTACCTTGACATGCTGTATATATCAAGCCACTATTCCAATTATTTAGGGGGTGGCTTAGTATGTTATATTGACACCGATAAAGTGTTTCATTCAGCCAGTTTTAGGGTGTAATATATGTGAACCCTGCCACAGAGTGGCTTAAATAAAAATGTATTCAGCAGAAGGCAACACTTTCAGGACTTTGGAGGGTTCAATGCAAAGAATGATTGGGAGAGATGTTGTGTCAGCATCTGTTAGTGATCAATGAAAGCTTTAAGAAGGTTAGCAAAGCTAAGTGTTACTTCTAGACTGAAAGGCTCCATGGACTCTCAGGCTCTCTTAATATAGTTAATATACTCTACAAGTATTTAATATTTTCCCCTCTTCTGACATATTAAAATTACACTTTTGCATTATGAAAGACATAATAAATACAAGATGGCAAATTGTTAATTATGACTTTGTTATGCTTATGCTTCATTTAAAAGGCAAAAACGCCTACTGGGTTTTCTATATTTACACAATCCTTCCATATCTCTGTGAAGTCCAAATTTCTGCTATTTGCCTCAAATCACCTCTTGGTGAAATATGGAATCAGGGTACCATGATGGTGCTGACTGTCCTGTAGCAGTACAAAATTCCCTTGTAATGGGCTTGCGGTGCTTTCTTTTGTTGCAAACTCATCATGATATATTGGCTAAACATTTAATATTTATTATTTATTATGTATACCGCAATTACAACTTAGAAATATAAATAATAAAACATAAGCTTGGTTGCTTTTATCATTAAAATTATTGGATAGCTTTCTTTGTTTCTCAGTATTATTGTAAAGTTACTAAATACAATAATTTCTTTCAGATTATATATATAATATTTAGTAACTTTGCAGTTACTAGTTAATTTAATGTTGGAGGGATAGAGACACCATTTACCACTCTGTCTTAGGCATAAAAATGTCATGAGTCGATTCTGAGTTTACATTACAGACGTAACAAATAACTTATTAATCATCTCTTTATTTACTAGCATTCCCTGAAGACAGATTACTCGTGAATTGTTATTACAGGCCAACCCTTGCCTGAATACCTTAATCTGGTCAGCTCTTTTAATTGATAGCCACTCAGAATTTATTAGAAGATGGGAAGCTATGTAAATGATTTAAACAAATAAATAAAGATAGTTGCTTGGTTCAAAGTCCTCTGACAAACATACCAACCTTTCAGCCTAGAAAATATAAACGTTTTGAACATTCTTGTCCAAAACTCCATATGTATATAACTGAATATAAAGTTTTAGGGAAAAACCTTAAAAATACAAGAGATGGCTGTGATATAGGGTGCATTTGTTTTGTTAGCAGAACGTATGCTATTTTAAGACATTTACAGTATATGGTTGTCCTCCTTTAATATCCCCTGAGTCACTGAATGTTAAAAAGACATTAAATTAGTGGTACTTACAGTGAATTCTCATAGTTGCAGCCATTTCAGCATCCCTGTGATCATGTGATTGTGATTTGGGCTTGGCAACCAGCTTGCAGTTATGACATCACAGTATCCCACAGTGGTGTGACTGCCATTTGCAACCTTCACTGCCGGCTTCTGACAAGCAAAGTCAATGGGAAAGCCAGCAGTATATTGCAAATAGCAATCATGTTACTGCAGGAGGTTGCAAACATGAAAGATTATCTAATAACAGTATCTTGAATTCCCTGAACTGCTGTCCTAAGGTGTCAAGCGTTCGTGTCATCACACACCTTATTACTGTGTTGCTTAGTGACAGAATTCCTGGTCCCAATTACCATTGGTAATCAAAGACTACCTGCATAATATCACTCCTCCACTTTTATCAGTATAACAACCCTCTTGTGTTGGAGATTAAGCTGAAAAAAATCATCCTGAGAACTGCCACGCGTGGGAAGCTGCAGGGGCTGCTGCTTTTCTCAGAGTAATGAAAGAAGTCATGGGTTGCAGTCTCAGTCCCTTTCAGTATATATGGATGATGTCACGAAGCATGTACAAAAAAGCCAGGGCTTCAGTGTCTTATTGTTCCAGTGCTGCCTGTATCATGCCGCCTTTATGGATGCTGCTCCTGCCACAGCTGAAAGGGTGTTCCTGAACTTAAAGGAATTCCAGCTCGAAATGATTTGGGAATAAGTCCAAATATTAAAAAGGAATTTCCTGCAGAAAACAAGGAAAAGCCGGAGAATTGGGGAAAGCCAATATCACACTGAAAACAAATTTTGTTACATATTAGTTACTTGAATTGAAACTTGGTTTTGGGTGCATGTACAGAGGTCCTTGCAGAAGAGAGTCTGAGAATATTTTAGCCTCCTTTGTATGCCTCTTGATTAAAAAGACTAAACATTACTGCAACTTTATGCAAAGTTGATTCAGAATGATATGAGTTAGTAAGCTCTAAGCTCCAAGGGCTTTTTTTAAAATGTGACTTTGGTAAGTGAATGGGCAATTTTAGATTTTGAAGGTGGACATCAAACCAAATGTACAATCAGCAGTGGCCACTGAACATTGGTAAGAACTCATGTCTGAGTCTATAATGTAGAATAAGAGCAAAAATATCAATTCTTTGCACTTATTGCATCCAGACTCTGGACCTACAAACCCATTCCATGAAACCCAGACCCTTCTAGAGAAGGATGGGCAAACCACAGTTCCAAACCACAGCTAATGTTGCTGGTTTCTTAGCAGATAAAGATGCTCGTATCCACTCTCGTTTGGAAACCAGCTGGCAGAGTCTACTGTGATGCGTGGAGCAATGTCATGCAGAATTATCTGTGATTCTTTTGAACTTGAAGTGTCAGAGAAGTTCTTCTATGGTTGGAATGTTGCCACGCTCAACCTGGCTTGACCCCTGCCCTTCTTGGCTTGTCCAAGCAGGGTGTGTGTAGCTGGATTCAGGAGGCTGTTAATGCTTCTTTGAATAACATTGTTCACCTTGAAGGAGACAGTAGCACACCTCCTGAAAACCCTACATGAACTCAGCCATTCCTGACAATGTTCCACCTACAGTAATTTCCAATATCTGTTTTCTGATGAAGGTTGTGGTGTAGGTAATGGGGGAAGTGCTGCCCAGAAGGACTTGGTATGTAATCTGAAGATCATTCTGGACTCATAGTTTCTGCTGAAACAGCAGATGGAAGTTGTGGCAGGAGGGTCTTTGATGGCTGCATCAGTTAGTAGTGAAACTGTTGAAGTATTTCTATTAGAAGACATCTTTGCCGTCCCAGGGTGGGATCAACCCAGTGGTGGGATAAAGCCGGTTCATACCACTTCGGCATCCACAAAGAGAACCGGTTGTTCATATATTTGAATCCCACCATTGGACCAACCACTGTTAATATGATTACTAATCATAGAAGAAACTTCTTAAAGTACTTGCTTCAAAAGAAATAAAAGAGTTAAAAGACGGAAATTTCTCCTGGATAGCTGGAGGTTATTTAAAACCACCATGAGAGAGGCTTAGATAACATTACATCAGATATTAGATCAGATCAGATAATGTTGCTAACAAGTCCAGGAAAATGCCACAGCTCTTAATGAACAGAATAAAGGAAAAATAGGAATGCTACCTTAAAATGTGCAATTTCCTGTTAAGAATAAATTAGAACAGAAATATAAATTAACTATAAGGGCTATCATCTGGTGGATAAAATAATTGCAATTCGCAAATGAAATATCTCTTCTGCCAGCCTACATGGAGCACTTTAGCAAAAAGGAAAAACAGCACTGCAATCCAAGACTGTAAATATCAAACCTGGAAGGATTATCTTGATTTATCCACTACCTATTGTGCCAGACAGTGACCCTCAAATT